GGCCGGCAGAGGGCGTATCCCCGCCCGAGCCCAGGCCCTGCAGTTGATGGTACATCCGTTGGAGCGCTAGGGCCTGGAGCTCGAACGGAGGAGACGCCACCAGTACAGTCGCCGACGCATATGATGTCGTCCGGTATCCCCTTACGGTCCTGATGGCGGTCATCCTATGAAGCCTCCTCAGCAAGAGTAGACTGCGTCGACATTTCATCAGATCTTCTGCCTACACCGTAGCCCCGTACAGCACCCGAGAACGGACGACTGCCTCATACAGTGTCGGCGCACTCCGACTCTGCCCCATCGATATTCGGCAGCAACCCACATAGAACGTTTGGCTATCGTCGTCACTTTGGGAACCAGAAGTTTGAACTGCGGCCCGAACGTCCATTGACTGTAGATGGTGAGGCCCAAGTATTTCATCTGAGGTCCTACCTCAATCTCTTCTCCGCGTATGTCCAAACACAGGTCGGGCGGAGGAATCCCCCTACGTCGGTAGTCATAAAACCATATAGCCTCCGATTTGGCTGGGGTCACCTTCAGGCCCAGCCTTCGTATACCCCATATCACGCAAGCGGCGCCAAACTCTCCGTGGCGCAGCGTCTCGTGCCACCAGCGTCCTCCGGCCAAGACCAACGTGTCGTCCGCGTAACACACCATGTCTGAGTCTGGGGGCATGGGGCAAGGAAGCACCGCGTCGTATCCGATGATCCACAGAATCGGACCCAAAACCGAACCCTGCGGAATCCCGCGTTCAACGGGCCACCGTTCTTCTCCATATTCAATTCGGGAGACTATCTTCGAAACAGTTAGGACAAGTTCAAACGAAAGATTCAAAAGCTATTCTTACGAAGCTGTCATTGCTGCATTTCACATCCTAGATTTAACCCTTTCGCTTCGGTAGTCCAGTCCGCCGAAGTACCGTCACTAAACGGAAGCGTGCGCCAGAAACGCGCACAATGTGCGTGGTTGATGTACATACGTTTTCCTAAGTCTTAAATATCAATAATTCTTGTAAGAACCGTATATGAAATATCGTTTCACTGTCAATGGATTTAACAGATTTTTTAGCACGAAATAGTATACGATCGTTTGGATGCTTGAAATATATTGCGTAAAACGTTTTGATGTTGTTTCAACAATGAGTCACTTTTAAGAAGTGATTAATCCAATATATCAATAAAATCAACAGAAAATGTTCTGCCGATAACGAAAAAATATATTATTGACTACAGATGGCACTGGTGTATACCCAATATATGGGGTGCCGAACCCAGGATTCGTCGCGTGGTCGCCGCCTATATGCGGCGCTCGTACCCACAGCTCATTTCGTGGATGTCGTCTATAAACGACGCTCATACCCACAGATCATCTCGCGGGCGCCACCTATAAGCGGCACCCGAAGCGAAAGGGTTAATCCAACAAGATGCTTTCAATACTGCCAGCATTTCTCTGGAACTCGTCGTGAATTGTACATTACTTTTTGCCGTCTGTGCACTAGCCAATAACAAGTCCTTTCGTAACTTCAGTTAGAGCTTAATGCGGCCAGGCCTCGTAACGTGATAACAAACAATGGTCTGCCCAAGTGGAAATAAATTTCAACAACTTTCCTTCAGTTTCTAGGTTTCACTAGCTAGGTTTCGTTGTGATTCCGTTTGCTCGCTAGGTACGATTCCTCTCGATCTTAAATAATCGATGCTGTTTAAAGTTAAACTTACCCAGCACACCTGACGGCGAAACTTTAACGATACGCAGTTCCGGGAAGGAGCTCAACTAATGGCGTGCGGTTGCCGTAAATTTAAATCGAATCCAGAGAATCCAGCTTGAAATAATAATCTTTAAATTTCCATCTCGATCGAGAAACTCCCACGTTATTTTATAGAACTATAAATATTTGAATTTTTCATTGCTTTCGTTGAAAAGTTGTATGATTATCTGATTGGCGTGGAATCGAGTTGCTGCAAGTCGTTAGATCTTGCCTGCCAGGTCTGACCAGGTTTGTTGGTTGGTATCTTAGTTTACCTTCACTGGCGAGTTCACCCTTGGATTACGCGTTAATACTTAGTATCTGTATTCCGCTACTGCTCACTGATTTCCACTTTACATGTTGATTGTCGGAAGTTTCTTCGTCCGGAGAAATACGTAGTGTGATGACACTGGTCACTGTTTTTCTTGAACTTAGGGAAGTGTCTCATGAAATACTCCTATGTTATCCGTTTCTTTCTTGCATTCGAGTTTATGATATTTTTGTTACATTCAATTATTGACATTTAGTTGTCGTTTATATGTATACTGTTCATTACGTATATCTATTAAGATGTAGATCAATGAATTCGAAGAAATTGGAGTTTGCTTACTACGTTTATTTTGTTCACATCATGTTCTGATATAGCTTGTCAATTTTCGTTTAACCGAACGATCTCAGTTTGCATCTTAGCACAAAGGAGCAGCTAGAACGCGGAGACTTGATAACTTTGGACAATTTCAGCCGGAAGTTGTTCTAATTTCATTCGTTGGCCGTACACGGAACCTTATTATGCGGTCCCGTGGTAACCTCACGTACCTATGTCTAACCACGCATCTATCGTTGTTCCATGTTCACTCGTGAAAGTTATGGCCACGTTATAGGCCGCCGGCGAACTTGCTATTGCCAGCCGTAACTATATGCGCCTGGAGGAAACTCGTCGTTCGGTAAAATGACCTCGAATGCTCCAACAGCTACTCTGACTCCTCTTTGGTCGGTGAAAGAGGGAGATTTAATTCGTTCCCTGTACCATGTTATGGCCGTGGTTCAAACGATAATGGTGACTCAATGGCATGCAAATGGAATGATTTAATTTAGAAATAGAAGCGAGCTCCTATCGTCGTTCTGTGGTACGTCAGCGTGTTTAGTCAGACTTCAAAGTTAGATGAATGCTTAGGTGATCATTAGTAGAATGTGATGTCATTTTGTCAGGCATATTGGCTATAATAGTGAGGTGTATATGATAGAATCGTGATTAATAGAACAGATAGGCGAGCGATTAGTGCAGTAGACCGATATTTATCAGACATCGAGTAACCAACAAAAGAAAATGGGTCAACAGGGATTTATCTAACCTTACGTTTATCTAATTTACCGAATTATTTGATTACGTCGGTGCTGCATCATGAAGATGCTGTAGTTAGTAGAATAGGTCAGATAGAAATTAATGTTAGCTTGAATATTTGTTTTACAATGTGAAGACTAACAAACCTATTTTCTTGTACCACAAATATCTGTGACTGGGTTAACGTAGACCTACAAGTTTTATACCTTTTCCTGATTTTATTATTTACATAATAATATTATTTAAATAATATTAACTTTGTTCTTATAAATAAAATTTGTTTTTGTTATAATCGATATTTCTAATCTAAAAATGGATCCTTTAGTAATATAAATATAACACAAATATAAAGTATAAATATAATAGAATATAAACAAAGTATAAATAAGCCGAAATAAACATTTTCTTTTTACGATATGTATACGTAATGAACTATTTTGTACAATCTAAATTATTTTACTACATTTTAGTAAATTATTTTGTACATATGTACCAATAAATTTCTACTTATTCTTATTTACGATATATTTAAAAATACACAGATGATCTTATCATCCCTGACACAAAAAATTAGTAGAATTATTTTAAACCAATCATCATAAATCATTGATTTCGACAAGACTCCTAAATATGCGGCTCAAAATGGATAACCATTGCTGAATAAACTTTGATTAAATGACAGTTTCACAACGGTTGATGTAATTGAAAAGCGAAATGACCTGTGATAGTTACCCGTAGCGATGCTCCCCACGAGTCATTCCTTAACCAGCAGTCGTTTCTTCGGTGACCTGTTAAAAGCGATTGCGTCGTAAACGCTAACTACTCTCACGAGTGTTTCGTGGACTCAACACGAGGATGTTCGACGATATAGACGAGTTCGACTACACGTACTCTCGGGTTCACACACGAGCAACGATTCTTTCGTTGATTGCAGCATTCCGAGGGTAATCGAGTTACTCGAAGGAAGCAATCCTTCTGCTTCCGTTTCTGTACTTTTGGCCGGGTGCAGTCGCGATGTATCGCCATTATTTCTGCAATGGGTGGCGCTGCTCTAGTTACGTATAAGTAAACAATTCCGTTGATTAGGAACGAAAATAACTGACGCAAAAAGCTGGTAAAGGAAGTGTAATTTTTTTATTCCGGAGTATTCTCTACTGGTCTTCTGGAGTTAATATTTGGTAATATTCGGATGTGTGGTTTAATGGTTTAATGCAATAACGTTAAGATTATTGAGAAGTCCTTAATCAAGTTTAATGACTGGTTGAAGCCATCTTTTTTAATATATTTAGTTTAGCATTTTTTTTCCGTTCATATGTCTGTGTATTTTGGATAATTTCTTATGCATCGCGTATCATATTTTCTCGTCCTGTTTATACCTTCATGAATTATTTTTTCAAAGGCAAAGATTAGGCTAAAAAAATTTTTCTTTTATGATTGAATTAAAGTTAGATTTATGATATGTAGGATTTTCCTGTAAGGGGAATTTTAGGGAATATTCAAAAATTTTTCTGAAATTCGAAATCTTAAACAATCTGATAACGTTCATGAGTTTTCTATTTCTTTTTCTAGTTTGTTAATTTTAAAATGGGGAAGAGAAACTATATAATGTATTATAGAATATAATAGTCTTTTAACCATTTAACTGCTGCGACCTCTTCGAAAAGTGTATACCTAAAATGTGTCGTAAAAAGTAGACGATGACGAGTATACACGTCAAACACAAAGTATGTATAGCTGTTATAATATAAAATTGAGTTGTGA